AGTCTTCCCAGCTTGGTACCTTCTCTGGATATAATGGCCTTTGAATATTCCTGCTCCTAGAATTTATTTTAATGACATCCTTCACACAAACTTAATATTGAACATCTTTAAGATGTGTTTATGCCTATTAAGTTATAAATTAAAAGCTGTACAAGAGTATATAATAACTTTCGTAAGTGGGATGGTTTCGTTCTTTTAATCCGTTTACCTTGTTTCTCGTGAGTACCTCGTTTACCTACAATCATGGTTGGCAGGGTGTCTATCTAGTTTGGGTAAAGAAATATTTTGACTCTGAATTTTGAAATTTGCATCCATCACCTTCACATAATTTAATACCACTGGGTTGTTTTTCCCCCTTCACATTTGCTTGCACTACTGGCAAAATGCATACTCAAGCCTGGCTAACTGTAGCTTTATTTCTTCAGCCAGAAATATTTTTCATTCTGGGAATGCCAGGTAACACCCAACTGGGTATTTACAAAAAGTTTAAAAACTTCATAAATCCTTTGCTGCAAAGGATAAATACTTTGCTTCATAAATATAGCTGGATTAGTCGCAAAAGGTCCAACTTTATAAGGGTTTATGCACAGGTAACTTGACAATTTTTTAATTTGTCTATTTTCATTGATAACTTATCCCACAATGTACATTAAAAAAAGTGGCTAGGTGAATTTTAATCAAGAAAACTAATTATTGCCTTTTATAGGAATGTATAATCAAAACCATATATCCTTAAAACTGACATGTTGTATTCAGGCCCTAATTAAAATGAAAGTACTTAGTAACAATGTGATCAAAGTCAAATACCTGTATGCTGTGATGGAGTACCAGAAAGTAGACTTGTATTAAATTTTAATGAGCTGGGAAAGTTTATAAATTTGTTGCAATGATTTAACCAATCTACCATAAACCTAAACATGCTATCTAAGGCCCAATGTTAATGTGCAATACTAGGCCTAGGAATGTAAGTTTGATTATTAGCTTTATATTTTTTTTTGGGCAAATATTAGTGGTAATTTTGGTAATTTGATCCCATATTGGCAATTTTGACTAGTTTCTAAAGGATGGGTTGCTGATTCATAAAGGATGAACCAAAATGTTGTAAATCCAGCTTCATTAATGTACATGATGAAAATTTCAGTTCTGCTTCTGAGTTTTTATGAAGACTTACTACTACTGAGGAAATCTCATAAAATTCATTATTAATGTACTATATTAGATATTAATGCTTGTTTTATTCCACAGAAGAACTAAGGGAACACTTCAGCAAATATGGCAACATTGAAAGTATAAATGTCAAGACAGACCCAAACACAGGCAGATCAAGAGGATTTGCATTCATTGTCTTTGGTAGCCCTGATGCCATTGATAAGGTTAGTAGTTATCCATTTTATTTGGAGAAAATGCTTATATAACTATTGTGTATTTAATTGCCTGAAATGTTAAAATTAGATTGTATTGTCAGTTGGAATATGAAATTTCCTATTTTAATGGTCTCCCTACAGTTAAAATTTTCAAATGCCATTTTTCATGGCATGTCAATTCATATTTTTAAGTGTTTTTTTCAGCACCATATTAAATCTTGAAAATATTATTCAATATTGTCTACATTGGAATTAAAAAAACAATTCTTGGAAGTTTTGTGCATAAATTTTAATTTAAACTGTAGTTTCAAATTAAGTTTTGCTTTGCAGGTTATAAATGCTGGCGATCATGTTATCAATGGGAAGAAGGTGGATCCCAAGAAAGCAAAAGCCCGCCACGGCAAAATCTTCGTTGGTGGATTAAAGGCAGATCTTTCTGATGATGATATAAAAAGTTATTTTGAAAAGTTTGGTACTATAATCGATGTAGAGTTGCCTTTTGATAAACAAAAGAACCAACGGAAAGGCTTCTGTTTCATCACTTTTGAACAAGAACAAGTTGTTACTGAATTGTTAAAGACTCCCAAACAGAGCATCAATGGTCATGAAGTAGATGTTAAGAAAGCCACACCCAAGCCAGATGCAATGGGGATGATGCGAGGGGGTATACGTGGTGGTGGCGGCATCAGAGGTACTCGTGGCACTACCATGCGTGGTAGAGGAAGAGGATGGGGCGCCAACTGGAACCAGGGTGGCTATGGAGGCTATGGACAAGGGAGCTATGGAGGCTATGGGGGTTATGGTATGTGTACAAGTAATATTGTTTAAGCAGTAGTACCCAAGTTTTCAACGAGATTGTGTAACTGGTTGGAAAGTTGGGTACTTAAAGCTTCGTCCTGTATCCCGCCAGTATGGTATGCTCATAGACATTTGACTTTGATGTATTTAGGTGATGTGGTCTTGAAGAGTAAGAGACTTAACTTACATTCTAGGTCCTTAAATCTAATCTTCATTGCAGGTGGCTATGACTACGGCTATGGTGGATATGGGGGATATGGTGGTTATGGTGGCTATGGTAATGATTACTATGGCTATGGCAGCGGGGGATATGGTAGTTATGGTAAGTATCAGGCTCGTGCTTATGTTAATATGGTGTCTAGGATTATTTGAACTGCATGCCAATTTTAAATGAATGTCCATTTTTTTTAGATATGCATGTAGCCCCTAACCTCGAATATAAATAAAAAATTGAAAATATACATAGGCTCACTTTATGGGGCAGCCTGTACTTTTAGTGTTCAACGAGACTGATTATTTATGGCGGTGTTGGCCCTTACCAGGCGGCCAAGGGTACGACGGGAAGAGCCAGCGTGGGCGGCAGCAGACGCGGCACCAACCATATTGAGAGTGGTCGACGTGGTGATTACGACAACACGTGGAACGGCACTGACTACTAAATGTTGACTGCTATCACTGAAGTGGCTACAGAGCCTGATATGCTGCAACACAGCCACGCCTGCGTCCATGTCAAGTTGCCCCATCTATATTTAAAATATTTATAAAAATGGAAAATGACAAAAATGTGATTGTCACAACAAAAACATTTATAGTTCATGTGAAGCATTCCTGTGTACAGGGCATTTCACTGTACTCTGGACAGTTCATACAAATAATTTTTTTACGTAATTTTAAGAATTTTATTTCCATGGCTGTACAGTCCTACATGTATGAATAAATGCGATTTTTTTGTGTAAGTGTTAAGTTTTAATCAACCTAATCTTTACATGTACAAGTCTGCCAAAAGCTAATAAGCAAAGATTTGGTGGTTGTAAATCGTAAATACCATACTGCAAAACTTGTAAATTTGATTTATTAGTTGCTTTACAGTACTAACTTAAAATTTGCAGTAATGTGCAATAAGCAAGAACTGAATGGCTTTTTAGACTAAAGTAACTTTTTTGCAATGGAAAAAGTTGCCCCAAAATCTAATCTTGGTATAAATTACAATTAAGGGCATAATTCAACTGCTTTATAAGTTGTTCCTCTGATTATCCCACATTTGATGGTGATACATAATCTTCCGGTTACCTTGAGGTGCTTCCGGGGCTTAGCATCCCCGCGGCCCGGTCATCGACCAGGCCTGGTTGCTGGACTGATCAACCAGGCTGTTGGACGCGGCTGCTCGCAGCCTGGTTGATCAGGTATCCTTTGGAGGTGCTTATCCAGTTCTCTTGAACACTGAGGGGTCGGCCAGTTATGCCCCCTTTAGGTTTGGTGCCTTTTGATAATTAAAAGTTGTCAACCAAATTTTGACTATAAAAAGGCTGCAACTGTTCAGTTTTAGTATTGCAGCCTAAATAGAAAGGTAATATTTTTTTTCAACGAATTTTACACGTTTTCAATAAGCTTCTACAACCACAGGTTTCAAATGAAATCATTTCTATGACCAATCACATTAGCATATAAGAAAGGATCTCTATGACTATGATTTTCCAAAATGTTTAGTTTTACTAATACAAATACCCCCCAATAATTATGCAAATATGTTTACTACTATTTATAAAATCAATAAATGAACTTGGGAAAATACGCTTCTTACAGATGGTTGACAAGCTACATATAAGGTGTAAGTCTGGTAAATTTAATAAAAAATGTTACTTGAATGTAACTTCTAAAGTGAGAAATAATTGCAAAATGGATGTCTTAGGGTGCTGCCATCTGTGGCTGTTTGACATAATCAATTTCCTCCAAAATTGGCACCTGTGCAGTCAGGTGTACAAGTTTCATGCAAGTCTTAGTTTTTTTTTTTATATAAAACTAAATTGCTTTATTATATGCTATTGTGATAGCAGAGTCATGGACATGATTTTGGTTGACACTTATTTGATGTTAATTTTTTAACATTTTGGAAAATTTCACTATTTTTTGCTCCCTTCCTGTTTATGCTACGATGCGGAGACTGACCAGATGACGCCCTTTCCATATACAACTAGTCAAAAAAGTTTTATTGAAATTGAACTTAGTTTTCATTTATTGCATATTTGAAACTGCAATCTTTTTTGGGGGGCATGTGGGAATCTAGTATCCCCTTAATGCAACTTTAGGTATTTACATGGTGGTATTCTGTTTGTCAAAGTAATCAAATATAAACTTGCTTATCTTTAATTTATTAATTTTATCCATGTAGTTACAGGATGAGAGCTATGCTAGTGGTGTCCTCTCTTCCCAGCATTTGACAAAGGAGGAGTACCAGATAATTACTTCAAATCCTTACAACTAAGTTTTGACCAATTTCTCTAAATATGTAGATTAGCAAAACTAAAAATACCTTATTTGGTCATTTGAAGGTGAGAATACACCTTTGTATTTGTCATAGTACAGTTATTACATTTGTTAGTAAATTTTTTATGATAATGCCAAAATGGTGCCAGTACATGTTCTGTACAGTAGTTTTTTTTTTTATCTAGATTTGCAATTACGCACTGGGCCAGGCTTCGTTGGTTAAACTCAAAACAGAGATGTCTGTATCTACGTCTAGGACGTCGATACAATGTCCTCTAGCTTGCATTAGTCTAGATAGCGAGTTTGTACTGTTAAAATGGTAGGGAAGGCTTGTTTCGTAATAACACAAGAATGTGCGTCTGACTAAATATTTTATTATAAAAAGATACACGTTAAAATGTTTTCTTAGTGAATTGACCCTTGCCATAACTACAATTGACTCAAATTCTTTTAAGTACTGACAAACTGGATTATACTAAAGAAAAAAAGGCAAATGGTACATTGTGAGCATGGAGAGCATAGTTACATGATATTGTAGCATTCTTATAAAAATTTAATAACAATGGTAAGTGTAACAAACTACACAAGATTCCATTCTGTGTTATCTGTAGTTATTAAACTACACAAGAGCTTGAGACATTATTCCTCTTCCTCTTTGTGGTCCACAATAAATGTCAAATGCACATCACCATTACCCACCACATTCACAATTTCATATTTTGTTTAAGACGGTTGCTTTATACAACTATGAAGAGCACTTACCACCCTTAAAGCTGTGTGCATCCTTTTAAAAACAACCTTTTATACTCCACATGAATAAATCAAATGAAACTTATTATGAAACCTTAAATCCAGATTGGAAGTCATCCTGGGCACCTGATTCATATAGTAATGGATGGCGAGTAATAAAATACCAAAACTAATCAACCAAATGCAAAAATTAAACTTATAATAAAGTTACAGTATATGTATTCCGATTGAAATATCCAACATAACTGAAGGAGACTAGCAAAATAATGTTTAAAGAATGTTATACAGAGTAATTTATGGGTATGTCGTGTGATTTATTCCCAACCCCATTGTACGAGTAATCAAATAGGACAATAAAAATAACCCATGCTTTTATCCCATATTGAGGTGCTCAATATGGTATGCAGGCTCGGGTTGCTATTCTTTAGCTTGTGAGATACTAGATGTGAATTTTTCTCTCTAAGGAACGACTGTGGAGTAACCTTGTATGGTTATATGCTTGCTTGTGTCTACAGATAATGATGTCCCACCTCATAGCTATCAGGTACCTGTTGTGAATATTTCTCAACTTTCAAGTGCTATATTAAACCACCTTTTAAAGCTGTACATGGAATCTCAGGCAACTTTACTTCAAGTTCCTTTCACTTGCTTACAACCCTTGCTGCATATCACTACTCTAACATATTTATGAACTGGTTTGTGTGCACACATGTATATACAGTGTGTATGCACACATTGTATATATTGTGTGTTTATGTACATACATTTTTAAAAAGAAAGTAGATAGAATCCAATACTGAAAACATTAATAATAATAACCTAAAGCTACAAAATCTTTGTAATTTTAATTTGACTAAAAATACAAACTCACCAGTCCTTTCACCAGATGATACATACACAAGAGCCTAAATGAGTAAGGCTATTGAGTACAGTTTATCACACATTCTACTTCTACACTCGTGTATAATGTACATTAGCATAAATATAAAAGTTACTAAATTTACTCATGTAAGTCACAAAAGCACGCTCACAAAGGAAACTACGGGTGCACATACATGCACACATTATACAAATTCACACATGTACAAACACGCGTATAGAAAATTATATTAAATGCATCTAGGCATGTAGATTTCTCCAAGTCTCTCCTGTATTAGCAGAAAGTGTAACTTTCTTCATTGTTAATATAAGAATAACATAATAAAAGAATTATTAGGCATATCATATGGTGTCACATTCTTGTGCTTTTCTATTTAGTTCACTGGGTTATTAAACTTCCTCTTAACTTCTCCACTTTTTATACAAATATAAATTTCTTAAGCTGAAAAAAGTTAATTTAAAATATATTACATGACATTTTAATATCTGGAAATTTAGTTTTTAAAAGCTATTCAAAATACTGTACAATAATTGTTAACAATAGTGCAAGTACTTTTAATTAAATAACATTAAATAATTAAGTAAGTAAACATTGTTAAATCACTGGATATTGGTTTCTATTCATGACTGATATTTAAAATATTTGTCATGAAAAAAATAGTACTGTAAATGTACTTATAATTTAGGTCCTAGAAAATCATCAGACCTGTACAATGACTGGGAAGAATATTTAAAATGGCTTTTGTGGTTACCAAAACTATACACGTTTAGAGGGCAACACATTAAAATGGCTTAATCTGATTAAACAACTTTGAGACTAAATATCAGTCTTCAAGTGGTTTAATACATCTAATTAGACATTAGCAGAACTAACACACTCAACTTTATATCTACATGTGAAAGCTCAGCATTTTTAACCCTAGTTGCAGTATTTCCTCTTGACAGACCTAACCACATTGTGCTGCACTGCCAACATAAAATTTTAAAAATTTACTATGAATATTAAAATTAAATTCATCTTTCCTGCTTCCTTAGAGACTATCCAGTTTACTAATGGTGACACCAAACAAATTAAGCAAACATTTTCTGGGTTATCCTAACATTTTAACAATCATTTTATAGGTGAAAATTGCAGATAAACTTATTGCCATTAGTTACTTAACCAATATTTGTTGATGCATAGATCATCTTTCAAGAGACTGAGACTAAACCAATTTTAGAAGATATACAAATCCTTTTCCCAGGGTGTCTTAAGATGCAGAGGTCTTCTCAAGCGAGTTTTTAAATCAATATATGCAGTTTGGGACTTCTTCCAAGAGACAAAGTTTAAACAGGATTAGTATGGTTGGCCTGAACCACAACTTCCTCCAGTGCTGAAGATTAAAAAGGAACTCGCTATTAGAACCATAAGTCAATATTTATTTTTCTTACTAATAATGCAATTGTTATAAATTCTGTACAATAAATATGTTTATAACACTAAAAATGTACAATAATTTTCCTCTAATATTATTTGCCCTACACTAGTACCCTGGGGTAAACACTCCAAAAACATCACAGTCCACAGATGCAGGTACTGTACAGTATGTATACAGTACCTGCTGTATACAGTACCTGCAGATGATTGTGAGGAACAACATCCCCGTAGCCTAGTCTTTGACCAGGTCTCCTGGTTGGTGGTCTGGCCAACCAGGCTCTTTGATGAGGCTGATTGCAGCCTGACGTATGAGATAGCTTGGTTGATCATGTATTCATTGAAGGTGTTTATCAAGTTCTCTTTTGAACACTGCAAGAGGTCGGCCAGTTTTACCCCCGTATGTGTAGAGGGTGAATGTTGAAAAGTTTTGGGCCTGTGATGTTGATCGAGTTCTCTCTCAACACTAAAGGGCAAAAGAAGATTGCACCCGAAAATCGCAGTGGTAGTGGTTTAAAGGATAAAATTGAAAGAACCAGAATAATGCCTGGAGCCAAACCCAGCCCATGGAAAAGGCCATGCTAGCAAGGTTTTGGTTCCCACATCTCTCCAACACCAGAGGTGATTCTGCAGGCAGAGTAGTCACTGACAGCAAAAGAAAACTGACTGGGAATCCAAGACCTGCCCAACCAAGTGCAAACCTGGAATGGAACCAATTGAGACTTCCTCCGGTTCACCAGGAACACAAGAGAAGTCCCCACCCCCCTCCTCCTCACCGTCTCTCATAGGCCAACGAGTCCTCAGTAAAGGTAAAGTACCGTTAAATGTTCACTTACTTTATTTACGGTTTATATTTATACCTCGTTTTTGTATGAAAAATATGAGTACAGTAGTATTATGTATAAAAAAAAATGTTATTTTTTTGGGCGTGTGGAACGGATTAACTCAATTTACTTATGGGAAAATTCATTCGGGTGAATTTTTTATTTACAAGCCGTCTCTGGGAACAGATTAAATTAAAAATCCAAATTACCACTGTATATGGTGAGTTAACCATATGGAGCAGCTATGGAGAAATGGTCATACCCGCCTATGTACAAAAAAAAAAAAATGATAGATTTGATAATTTGTATGCAGAATATAAGTAAAACACGAAAATAAGTGAATATTTATCGTTTCACTGGGCGGAGGCATTCTGAAAGTCTAAGTCTGTCACTTGTCAACAATGCCTGGTGCTGGATTTTGCTCACACTTCTCGATTTATTCTCTGATGTTTCACCGATTGTTTTATCACTTGTTTTTCTTTATTTATATCCATAGAGAGCTTTTATTTTCATATATGCATCACACATGTAAAACCCAGAGAATAATTGTTTAAATCATCATATGATGATGATCACATTCCCCTAGTAACATTCATGACAATAACAGCATTTGTACCATGAAATGGTAGCAGGATTTTTTCATGGGTCAAGGTAAACTCCACTGCATCCACACCGATCTATTATTTCCATATTTGCATCATACAAGTAAAACCCATACAATATTTTTTTTAAATTTTCATACGATAACTGCATTACCCTGTGAATCAACAATTGATGATAACCGCTGTCTAAGGGTTAAGATACCGTATCGAGTTTCCTGGATAAAACTATTGGATTCCAGCTTCTACAATATGCAATTGCATTAATGGGATGCAAAGGACCTGTGAATAAAAGTTTGTAAGAGACAATGTAAATGACACTAGAAACATTTATAACCTGATAAATGAGCCAAGTGTGCACAGTGAATAATGAGTATTTTATTTTAATAGTTAGGCTTCTAGCAAGGAGACAAAAACAGTGTTAATGAACCAACACACTCATGGATCTGATTTGCTAGTGCAGACTGACTTAGGAAGATGTATCTCCCTCACTGGCTCTACAAACATGCTAGGTTTACAAAAAGAAGTGGATGAAGATATGGTTATAGTAAAGAGTATTCTTGAAACTAGCCTAAGAAAGAAAACCACATAAGATTTGCATGCAGTGCATCAGTACAACTTAAAGAGATATCTCACTAACCATGTGTGTGGTTGTTAGTGTATCCAGTACATATCATTTCATTTTCTTCATCATCTTCAGCCCAGCGCTGACGGGCACCTAACAAATCATCTGTGTCTTCATCTACACAACGCTGAGGATAGGTAACTCCGTCACCCAAACTGAAAACAAAAAATTAAATACAGTACAACCTCGATTCGACGTACCCCGATTCGGCGAATCTCCGGCTAGGTCGCATACTTTTCAGGCTGGATTTACTCACCCGGTTCGGCGTACTGTACTCTGGTTCGCCGAAGAGGGGGAATGTGCGGATTTGCTTACGATGTTGGGACAGAGTTCACAGACTGGTGGAAAACTTTCCCATTCTATCACAGGTTACAATTAATAATTCCTTCGTATGTCAAGTTGGATCACACAAGTGGACCATATGAACCAAACACCAGCCAGAATGGTCCACACAAGTGAACGACTGTGTTTCCATGATTTTCGTTTACTGAATTGTGGCACATGTATCTTTGTTGATTAATTTAAAGGCTAAAACATGAATAGCTAGCTAATGTGTTGAAATCTATTTATATACATTTTGTGATGAAACAAGATGAGTGAGAGTGGACAGATAAGAGAATACAGTACTGTAAACCCTCACTTTACAGTGAGGTTTCACTCACTTTCATCTGTGTCATCATAGTTCAGTGACTCATGACTTTGAAAGTTTCAGGTTAATAAATCGTTTCTAAAACCGGTGTTTTAATAGCTCTTTATTATCCTAATTAAACTAAACTAAATACAACCAAAAATATACTGTAAGATGATAGACATCTGCCATTTTATAAATTATTCTTGTTATTGGCACAACTTCAACACAACATTCAAAAGGTGACACCCCTGGGGTCAACACTTGCATCAGAGGAGCTCCAGCATATTTCAACAATCCTAAGTATTGTAGTACAGGTTGATGATAGTGAGTGGTGTCCCAGAGAACATAAAGGTATAGTGCTTTTGAAAAATAGATGAGATAACAGGAATGTGCTAAGGGAAGTGAAAAAATTGAGAAAATGTTGCCCCAGTGTTTCAGTGCAGAGAAGAACATTCAAGATGGCCGCCGGCAAGAGGAAAAACAAAACAGAGCTTGATTTTGGGGATTTAATGAAGAAAGCATTGATATTAGCAGTCTTCACAACAAGTTGGTAAAATTAGATACTATAGTGAACTCATGTAGATATAGTCAGTAAATTGAAAGAAAGCAATGACCATTTGTGTAACAAAGTTTTATGTCTTGAGGGTTTAGTGAAAGACTTATGCAAGGATAAGAATCAATTGAAAACCATATTGCAAAGCCATGGAAGAGGAAAATAAACTCTTAAAAATAGCTTTGGAAGAAGTTAAAACAAATTTAAACATAGATGATTACAATAGGTTTGGTAAGGAAATTCAACAGGAGAAACAGCTTTTGTCAGCACAGATGAAGTAAGTTACACAGGGAATAGAACAGTGCAAGAAGGATATGCAACTTACCTATGCACAAGTGCCCAAGGAGAAGGAAAAACTGATGAAGCAGTAAAGGAAGCCAAACACTGCAGTAACCAGGATAAAACAAACATTAGGCTGGAAGTGAGAAAGGAATTGGCATCTAACCCAAAGTTGGTGCAAAACACAGTTGATCAGAGTAAGTCCCTGATAATTTTTTATTGCAAAGAAAAGGAGATAACATCTAGGTCAGAAAGAACTGTAGAAGATGCAAAAGTAGTAGATAAAATTGTTGGCCTTGTGGAAGGTCTAACTACCATAGAGAACGTGTGCAACTACAGGAGAATAAGCATGTACGTAAAAGGGAAAGATTGACCTTTGAGGGTCACCCTGAACGGTGCCAAACAGATGGAAGAAGTACTAAGGAATACTAGAAAATTACAAATTACAAAGTGATGAGGATGGGAAAGTGTGGTCGTTAAGACGAGACCATTAAAGAGAAAGAGAAGCTCAAACTAAACCTTGTAGAGGCAAAACGTCTAAATGAGAGGGGAAACGAAGAAGAATTTTTTTTTCCTACAAAGTGTTAGGGGTAGGCAGGCCAGTAAAATGGTACAAAAAGCCAAACCAACAAAATTGCTACAGAGAGGGGTAGTGAAGAATAAGGAGAGTGGGAACATGTTCCTGAAAATAGTATACACCAATGTAGATGGAGTGAGAGCGAAGATACTGGAGTTAAGTGATGTAATACAGCTGCAGACACCAGACATTGTTACACTCACGAAGACAAAACTTGAAGATGTTATTTTAAATGAGGTCATATTCCCAAGGGGTTACTCAATTTGGAGACGGGGACAGAAAAATTAGGAAAGGCGGTGGCGTTGCTGTACTGGTGAACGAAATAATGATTGCCAATCCACGAGAAGTTGATGTAATAGCACTAGAGATCTGCCATGAGGATGATAAACTAATGATCATAAATGCATATAGTCCACCGCCAAGCAACACATGGACAAAGGAGAAGCTAGATAGTAAATGAAAGGGTCTTATAACAATAATGAGAGAGATTATATCGAAAGCGGATAAAGATAGATCACGACTCTTGATAGTCGGGGACTTCAACTTGAAATCCATTGACTGGGAAGCACATGAAACTAGAACAGAGGATTTTTGAACCTGTAGATTTGTAGACCTCATCCTGGAAGCATTCTTGTATAAACATGTTAAACAAGCTACGAGGATGAGGGAAGGGGACGTTCCCTCCATGCTAGATTTGATATTTACCAGGTATTTGACATTCAGTACCTTCCTCCCTTGGGTAAAAGTGACCATGTCTTTTTGCGAATAAAGTATGTAATGCATTATAATCTGGAAGAAAATAAAGAGGTTGAAGCAGTTGAAAAACCTGACTTCAGGAGAGAACATTATGGCGACCTTAGAATTTTTTTTAATGATTATAATTGGACAGACTTGTTGCTAGGCAAGGAAGTAAATGAGATATATGTCAAGTTTTGTGAAATAAATGATAAAGGCACAAATTTTTTTATACCAAAACAGAGATGTAGAACTATGAAACAGAATTAGTTCAACAGAAATTGCAAGAGGGCCAGAGACCAAAAAACACACAAATGGAATCAATATAGGAAGAGGCCAAACCCCCAAACATACCAGCGATACAAAGATGCGAGAAACAACTACACATCAGTGAGGACCAACAATTCCGACAGAGGATGGCAACTAGCCGAAGCTGCCTGCAGATACTGCATCACCACAAACTCTGCAAACAGCAACGGACAAAAGTGCGAAGACGATCTAAGAGCCAGGGCTCAAGCAGATTCCAAGGAAGAAGCGGGCACCTCCTGCTGACACTCGAGCCGAGAAGCAAAAAACTGCGAAACAGCATCCCTCAAGAGCGGCGCAAACAGCTTCAACAGCGCAGATGATGCACCAGACCCAGAGGCAGTCCCAAGCTCCTCCACATCCACTGCAAGCCAGTCCGAAGACAGCTCAAGGAGGGAGAAGAACTGCAGGGCCGAAGCCAGCAGGCCCTGCGTACGCAAGTCTTCCGTGACCAATGCAGCCTAAAGGGAAGGAACCTGCACATGAAGCTGCATCACATCAACATCCCACGGAAGTGCAGGGGCGAACAAGCACTCACTGAGATGCTCAAATGTGCCCCCCCAGGAAAACCTGCAACGCTGTCTGAGCCTCCCGACACTCAAGCATGCGGGAATGATACAGAATGTATGCCACGCTTTCAAAAAGAAGAAAGGGCAGTCTGCTAACCAGGACGACTCTGGAACTTCGTAATGAACCCAGTAAGGACACGAAGGTCCATAAACGAAGGAATGGATCTATCACAAAAGCAAAATTCAGGTCGCGCAGGAGGTAAATCGTAAGGGTGTCCCACATCCACTGGGACTGGACTCGGGAAGCCGGAAATCTCCGGAAAGACTGAACTGAAGAACTGTTGGGGTCACAGAACCGGGGAGGGGTAGACGTCAAATCCATCTCGTACAAGGAGGGAGCAAAAGAGAATCCCACACCCTGTAACACCAAGTCCCACTCCGAGGGTACAAAAACCCAAGCCCAACGGGGCCCAAGGCCCCCAAGTCAACCCCTCCCCCGCCCCATGAACCTCACCCCGAGGGTCTGAGGATGTGCCGTCCTCCACACCCCCCGCCTCTAAAGAAAAGGTAGGAGCAGCTGAAAAAGCTGGAACGAAGGGGGCCCCACTGGTCAGACCCAGAAGCTCTGGCAGGAGGACCAGGCTCGAATGCCTCTACCGCCACCCCAGAAGGGGACTCCCCCCAAGACTGCCCAAGTCTCAACACCAACTAAACCCTGCCCTGACTCCAAAACTCTCAGACGCTTCGGGGCCGGGAGCAAGGGGGAAGGAACTGGATGGACAACAGAAGGGAAAGAACAAGGGGGAGAGAATGGAACCAGAGCTGAAGCGACTCCCACCTTTAAGTCCGGGTCCCTAAATCCAAAACGGGGCAGTTTCAGGGCATCCAGGGAAGCAACTAACCTAGTGCATTGCAGCAACCTAAACCTAGCATGCAACACAGCTGCTGCCTGCACCCTCATATCATGATCAGTAGCTTGGGTGAACTGAAGCACGTACAGGCAACAAATGTCGCACGACTCCGGGTCAAAAGAATCACTGACCCTAACAGAAAGTATGGTGAAGGCACAACCGGTGATTGTCCCCCAGAGACAGAGCAACCTTCCGACTCGCACAAAGTGAGTGGGGACTGAAGGGTCACATCCAATGGACCATGGAGTCCCCGCAGGTTTCCCAGGGCCCTTAGCCTTATTAACACACTAAGGAAAGCCCCGGCAGGGTACTGCGAACTGGCGCCCAAGACTACCAAACAATCTGCTAATAGCTGAAACCCTGGGACATGTCCACTCATGGGGGGCCTAGAGAGGAGTACCACCAACAACACAAAAAACTGAGGATAGATATAATGATAGATATACAGTATACACCCCAACACAGAAGGGGCAACCACCAAGGCAGACCTCACCATGCAGAAAAACAAAACCAAAAGCAAAACCGCACAAGAAGACAACATACCCAGGTGGAACAGAGTCGGTCGCCGTAAGAGGTAAAAACTAGCTGTGCAGTACCCCGCGCCCTTACTAGTGACGAAAACTACCTCCCTACCCAGAGGCAAATACAGTCAAC